TAGTTCAGAATCCGGGAAACCAGAGATAATTAACCCCAGCTTCGCCTGAAGCACAAAGCAAGACATTGTTTGTAAGTCAATAATCTGATCAAAACACCGTCTTTTGAATCATTCACAGAGCAAACCAAATGCTAACTAACACAGACAAAAACTCGCAGGATCGTGAAGCTCTTTCGATTTCCCTGGTAAGAGGCTGCTTTTCTTAGAACTGTCCATGGTCTGAGCAATAGCAAAGAGAAACAGAAAAACAATAGTGGAGGAAACATCAACGTGAAAAAGCCTGCTTTCTTTAGGTTAGCTTCTGGAACATGATTTTCTGGATTGGATCAAGCATTTTCAGTGGCTTTTGCCTTTGGATTATTCATTTATGTATCTTTACGTCCTGTTTTGTTGTCTTTCTCTTCCTTCTTTCTATAGAACACTAGTTTCATCTTTTGAGTCTCACTTGACATTTTCCACTCCTTTGATATAATTATAAATTTGTCTAAAAATGATACACTGTTTTGCACTGTTGAACAAGACCAATATGAGAACTAAACCGTATTCGAATCCAAAATGACGAAATTCGACGTCATGATTGTACCGGTTTACACTAAATTGTGATGACACAATCAAACATTTCTGGTTTCTACTTTTTCAGTACACAAAAGGAATAACAGCTTTCCTACTCTTGGGATACTCATCTTTGAACTTGTCAATGTACCAACTATGGCTCGCACGTGCGCGCGGGAACAAGTTGGAACACGTGTAGAGAAAAAACCCAATCCCGGCCCAAGACCAAGTCATTACAGCCCAGCCCAACCACTCAATCGCTTCTCCAAAGTAATTCGGACAGCTCACAAGCTCGAACCAGCCTCCTCTCGGTATCACATAACCTCCCCGGTTCTCTTTCTTCAGCCGTACAAGAGTCCGGTCCGATGTGATGTTTATCCACATCCCGGCAATGAAAACCACCGTACCAATGATAAACCGCCACCAGAACCATTGTCCGTCTTCGTAGTCGTTCTTGTAATGTGAAACCCACCTCGCCTGTTCAGACATGAAAAACCGAAAAATTGTGATTTCTGAATCAAACCGAACCAAACCGGAATCAGAGTCAGTACCTGGATATAGGCATTGAGCAGATTAAAGGTGAAAGCCAAGGCGGCGATACTGATCGGGAAACCATTTTTGCCA